GGGGCAGCCACCCGCGATAGGTCGTTTTCGAAATAACTCACGTCCGCCAGGTTCGAGTCGCGTGCGACTCTGAGCCTCCAACGCAGGCAGGCGCTTCTTCGATTCGCCTGCGATCGAATTGATAGTTCTCGGTGGTTCCCCTGAATGGTGGTTTCAAGAGAAACCACGACCAAGGGTCAAACAGTAATTCTGAGAACGCCTCGAAATGCCTTGCCACTTGACTAGGTCCCCCAGTAGTGCCCTTTTACCGTTTCTTTTTTTGGGGATGGTTCCGAACCCTACTAAAATAGACTACAGACACAAAATGGTACCCTTATTCTGTCAGCTCTACTGGAGGACCTACAGTAGTCTTGGTGGTTCCCGGCCATCCCCGAATTAGGTTTTTAGGTTTTAGCTTTTCAGTGTTTATTGGGGATTTCCATTTGGCCCGCCAAAAGTAAGACTGGAACTTTAGCGGGGGATCTGAGGACAGCCCAGATTTGTTGGTCAAAGTTTGGTCATCTTACCGCTTTCCCGAGTAGAGTGCAAGCAATCTCTTCTTCTCTCTCCCACTGACATGGCACCTTGCAGGAAGTCCCTTCAAACAAAATATCTCCCAGGTGCCCTCCCGCATGCAAGGATATTCCTTAGGCCAAGACCCCGGCGACCTGAACAGCGTGCCTGCAAGCTCTTTGGTTTGACACAGCTCAACGTTCGCACCTTTGAATCTTGTGGACAATTATTGTTTCACCGAATGAGCAATCACATCTCACATCACACTGCTGAGACAGTTTTCGTTTTGTTGCCTTTCAAGCTTAAGCAAAGCAAACTTTTCTGTCGTATAGAAGTTAAAACACCCAAAAAGATACTGTAGTTTACAGTTTGATTTACAGTGTTTTCAGTCATCTGCAAGAACCAGGCACACGGAGTAGACTTGACACCTTCAACTAGAAGAGAGGAAGGGTAGGCCCTGGGGGGGGGGACTATATATATATATATATATTGCACAAGCTCTGAACCGACCTTTTACCAGCGCCTTGCCAGGATATCTTAATTTGTCCCTTGGCTGTCTGAACAACAAGCACCTGGAAGGGTCCCTAATTTTGAAGGAAACTGCGCATACTTGGGTCAGTGGGGGGTTCTTAAAGTGGTGTGGTGGACCCCTCCTTTCGGCATTTGATGTTACATCAGAAGGAAACAATCCTTGAACACCCGCACGTGCTACGGTCAAATCCCGTTTGTGGGCCATGGTCATGGTTCCCTTAGCAACCCATCACAATGGTTGTCCAAATGCCTTCAAAAAGGTTGCAGCGTCAACGACGCCATTTGGGATTGGTAGGGCTGGTTGCGGACCTCCTAGTATGGGTTCTACCCCATTGAGGGAACTACAACCATGACCCAATTTTTCGGAGCTTGTCTATGGCACACATGCATATCTGTGAACATAAAAGGGCCCCAAGAATGGCGGTGTTCCTTTTTGGTTTCCTGTCAACCGGTTAAAACCGGCCCAACACGAGATTCTCAAAACAACTCCCCCGTAAGTTCGTTTTTTTTGTGAAGGAACCCTTTTGGGGCTGGCTGCAAGCCAAGAGGAAAACCTCGATGGTCTTTTTTGGAGGGGGTCTCCTATTCTTGGGTGTTCAACCAACTTAGCAAATAGGTTATAACCATTATTATAAGGAGACTAACCCCAAGTTACCCCACTTATAACCATGGTTATGACCTACTTACTAACTTCGCCGAACACCCAAGTTTGAAGACACCTCTAGAAAGTGTTCCGTGCTTTCGGCGGCGCCGCCTTTTTTGCAGAAGCCAGGCGGCCGACTGGCGAGCTGCCCGTGAGACGCCGCGGGAGTCGCGGCTGCCCCGCCCCCCTGCGGCTTGGATGTTTTGAACGCGGCGCCCACGGACCTGGGTCTTCTTCAAATCTTCCATTTGATTAAGAACATGTTTACTTGTTGGTTTTAAAGGGAACTTATCAGTACCTGGAGTCATAGACGCGGTACAGAATGAAGGCAACGCCTGACCCATGAGGCACCCATTGCGTTGTCTGGGTTCTTGCTCACATCGGTTTAAGCCCACTAGTGCCCACATTGAGGATGAATCACATGAATGGTTTTAGATAAGCAATGAGCCATCACCCACAACAAACCATTGGGTTATCTTCCAGATTGATGCACCTCCTATGTTTGAGTCATCCTCGAGGCGAACTTTCCAGGTGCATTCATGATGGGCGCTGGAATATTCATGTTGTTTGGGTTGACTGCCGTTGATTATGGCGCCAGCCGTCCCGATGCACTATGCCACTTAATTTCTGGAATTGACATCCACTTGCGTTGTGTTTGTGCTTGTACATTCGTAGATGTCCTTTTGCAGATGGCTTCTACTTATTCAGCATGCCATGTATTTCAACAGGACACCTAGCAACACACCTAGCCTTCTTCCAAGGCATCTCGCCCTCGTCTTCAAGAGGACCGCGCCCATGGATGCGGCTTATTGTACCAAGCCAAAGTGAACTATGGTGTTTCATCTTTTTCTTGGGGGGGGGTTGCTCCATGTTGAGACACACCCCTATCACCCTTTTCTTCATTTTCGACACAGTGCAAGTAACAGCACTCTCCAGCGACTGCGTCGGCGCTAGAATGCCCTGCCCCGCCACACACAAAGAATAAAAACACCCTGTGACAAGCGGGGGGGCTTTTCTCACCAAAACCGACCCTTGCCCCTTCTGGACCTGGCTTTGATCCATTTTTGTTGAGGTTCCAAAAAGTTGCCCTTTTTCTATTGGGTCTTTTGGGGAATTCATGTTGGGGACGACAAGCCATTCATGGACCCCTTTAAAGACACGTGTTGCTGGAGGCGTCTCTCCACCCCTTGTTCAAAGAAATCTCTTGCGGGAGCGTATCTAGGACGAAGTCCATTTTGCACCACCTAAGCCAGCCTGGTTTCGGATGATGCTCCTTTAAATTCCAACAAACGTTCTGGTTTCCACCATGATTTCATTTCGGGGCGCGAACGGCTTTGTCCATTAAAAAGAAAGGGGGGCTCCCGGCAACCCCATGGCAGGTCTCATGTTACGCTCTTTCGAAACATGGAACTGGGTCCCATGAGTACCACTCACTCCCTGAGTTCCTGGACTTTGAACTTTTGGCATGACCATTTTAGTGGGGGAAAAAAGTTCAAGCCTTTTTTGGCCAGTCCACTTAAGTGAGACCATCCTCACGGCCGCAATCCACAGGGCTGATTAGGGACCGCCTAGCCAACAGAGGCAACTCCGCAACAGCTTCCCTAATGGAGAGAGGGTAGGGCAACTCCGTAGTGGATCCCCGAATGAAATACAGCAATCGGAAAGCTGTTCTGGGCACTTTTAAACCAACTAGCCCATGGGAGGTTCAGACAAAAAATACGCGAGGGAGTAGTTGAGTACCGTGATGTGTTCGTCGCAAGGAGCCATCTCGCCCGCTGGAGACGACTCAGGACAGATCTTGGCGGCCCCGTTTGCCCCGTCAACTTTCGGGGTATCAACGTGTGTTCATTATTCTAGGGGAAGCTTCCATATTCATTCTTTCCAGGGATCCGAATCTTTTAAGGAAACCCAGGGGAAACAGCCGGCTTTTGAAAAGAATGATGGTTGAAAAGAACAACCCCTAGAAACATTTGAACAGTTTTTTTCGGGTCATCAAAGTTTGCAAGGTTGGGGGTGTTTTCGTATTGTATCCCTTTAACCTACCACGTGGGGGTGATGGTACAATAATTCGGCCAGTTCACCACGTCCCACGTCAAGCGTCTGATATTCAAGAGAGACCCCCCTCATATTCTAACTCCCTGAGCTGGACTTTGAACTTTTGGGAAAGACCTTCGTGGCAAACAAAAAGTTAGGATGCGCTCAGACTATCCACTCAGGAAGTGAGTGTTCTAGGGTGACCCCTTTCCTTTCAGCTCAACATGACGTGTTTGCCGTTACTTCCCGACTCAAAAGGGACCCCACATGGCTCAAAAGGGAGCCCCCGCAAAAGGGAGACCCCTCAAAAGGAGGCTTTTACGGGTTCCATGTAAATCCGTGAATTAAAGTTGCAGTGGCAACTGGTAGCCATTACGGTCCACAGTCCACAGGACAAGTCTTCGAGGGCGTATCATTCTAGTGTTGCCATGAAAGAGTTCCCTATAGTGTTCCTGTTGACCCCAGGTTAATCGGGCTGGTTCCCTTTTAGTGGAATTCGTCACTTTTAGCAGGGGTTTATTAATCCGGGGTCAAGATTATCTCCCCCGCCGGTCGTTCAAAACATCACTTTTCGGGTTTAAGGCGACTTTCCTTTATGCAGCGTGGGGGTGGAATTCTCGAAAGGTGTCACTGGGGCCCTTGGAATGCCGTTCTTCCAAAGCGACCCCTCATTTTGTTGTTTGGTTTTGGACGTAGGCTATGGGTGAATGATTTGGCCTCGAGCCGAGGGAGGATCTGAACAAAAAACTGTTCTTTGGAATAGACATAGTCCTTAGGGCAAACCCTGATCGAGTTTTCCTCGGGTGATCAAACTTCAAAGGGCACATTTACCCTTCCTCCAATCAAGCTGACCATCTTGAATTTTAGGACGACTTTCCTTTGGGGGTTTTGGGGTAAAGGGAGCAGGTCCAAGATACTAGCAAAAGTTGCTCCAGAGATGGGGGTCTATGCTGTGCTGGTTTGGTGGGTGCCGGACACGCCGAACAGGGACCGTGCCAGCTGCTTGCAACATTGGCAAGATACGTATGGTTTTGCCCCCGATGACCCGCTTCCACGATTTTTGGAAAGAGGGTAAGGACGCCTCGGGCGAGTTGCCTTTGGTCAAATCAACCTCCCCTCGCTGCTGCTTGTCCGCAGGAGCGCGAGCCTTTGCGCAGGCGCGGGGAGCAACGGTGAACTCTTTGTTGTCATCTCTGCATTTTGAGACCAAACCTGCAGCCATTGTGAGCCCACCTGACTGGGGTTGGGTGCGGCGGTCTTTTGATCCTGCGGGGAGTTGACACAACTTGCACGCATTCACATCAACGAGGTACGTATTGAGAATCTTAGTATGTCTCAAAACCGGAGGTGGGGGGAGAACCTCTTGACGTGTCCAGGGGTGCCAAGCAAAAAATCAGAGCTCTTATGAGCCCTGGTGAAAACACTTGCTTACTTGGGGGTTGTAGGGTTAGTTGTCGACATTTTTTCGGGGAAGACAACTGCAAAAAAGGGACAGGGGCCGCCAGAAAGTTGCAACTTGCACAGGGGTAATCCAGTGAACTCTGTAAGGTTCGTTGGAGTAGAATCAACAAAAAGTCCAAGCTTCACAAGCCCTTTGCCATCTCTACTCCAACACCTACTCCAAAACCACCCAACATTGAATAGGGCAAGTTTTTGCGGCATTTTAGGGAGTCGGCTGTTTTCACCCTCCCCCGGCCACAGCCCCCTTTTGGGGCGACGAGTCCGTCGCTGGTCCGTCGCTGGTCGCTTCGCCTCTCGTCCGAGGCCGGATGGGCAGCACAGTGCCCGGCGAATCCCGGCGACGCCTTCCAGCAGCAGCCTCGCGACGAGTACCAGGAGAACTCCCAGGCGAGAGGTGTTTTTTTGTGTTTTCCGGTTTTTTGTTGTCCCCCGTTCTTTATTGTTTCTTCGGCGAGATGCTGTTGTTTGTTTTTGCTCGCTTCCGACTGTCAGGCGCCGCTTTGGTGGTTTGGATTGGTTTGGAATTGGATTTGAACCCCAGCCTTTGAAGCCAAATGGGCCATTTTGGTTTCCCCTAACCTCCAAACCAGCTAACCACACCGCCAATTTGGGAATAAGGTGATGGGTTCGTCTCATCAGCATCACCCAACTTGGGTGGGGCCTCTTTGGTTTTCCTTTTCTTGGCCACTCAACAAGAGGTTCAATTTGGAAACAAGCCTTTCGAAGGGGCTCCGATTCCGAGAACTCGGTTCGCTCTTTCCGTCTGCGATCTGCTACTTTCAATAATACAAAGTGGCCTCCCCAAGGCAATGCAACATGTGGCAGCCCTGTCTGCGAGTAAACCAGAGTTTAGGAACCTTCATCACCATTTTGGTTGCCTGCGATTGAAGACTGGAGGAAACGGAAGGGGGATTGGATCAGGATTGCCAAGAACCGAAGCCCAGGGTTTCCCCTTGTTGGGTTCCCGTGTTTAGTGGCCCCGAAAGGTCAACAAATCATCTTGCTGGTTCTCAGGGAATGAGAAATGGAATGACCCCTACAAACCATCCGCTATTCATATAAGGTACTATGAGGGGATTCCTTAGGTTCATTCCCAACACGCAGACTCGGTCTTTCCCTACCAATCGCACCAGCGAGTTACTTCTGCGGTCCGCTCGTCCGAGAAAAGATGGCCAAACCCGGGCAGGAAAAGTTGTTGTCGTTTGTGTTGCCTTGGCTTCGAAGACCTTCCAACCATCCCTGGGTGCTCATGCGCCAAGTTAATACGTGGGGATCGCTTTTGGCCCGGGTTTTCACCCCCTTAGAACATGAGAAAACCCCACATTCACCGGGAGACTTACAAGTGGGGTGCAACGATTGTAACGTGGTATAATCGCCGCTAGAAAGTTGCTTGCTTGCGAGCAAACTTTTGCTGTTACAACTTACTAACTTGGCTTTTGCTTGTGCCTCAAAACAGGGGGCTCCCAAGACATGGTGTTTGAGTTGCTTTGGCTTGGGTTTCCCGCCACTGCAAAGAAGGTACCCTCGAAGCCTCACTTTCCCCAAAGCGAATGAACCTGACATGATTCGATCTTTTTTGGGTTTCCCCTTTGTTTTTGTTTTTGTGGGTCCAGTCACGGTGGCTTCCAATCCTGCTGGCGCTCAGTAGGGAACAGGGTGGTGGGAATAAACCTGGGCCTTCTCTGGGAAAGCAGAGGAAAGGGATGGTTTTCCTTAGAGGCTCCCGATTGATTTCGGGCCTTCCAACAACCTGGTTTGGAGAGCCCTAACCACCTGGAGGGGTGTCTAATGGCGGGGTCGGGTCTTCCATTGAAAGCCGAAGCCAGGAGCCTCTGGGGGGTCAGCAACGATTTCGTCATTCCCCGGAAAGCATAGGAAAGCATAGGAAAGCATAGGGAACCATACAAAAGCACAGGGAACCATAGGAAACCATAGGGAACCATAGGGAAGCATAGGGAACCACAGGAAACCATAGGGAACCATAGGAAACTATAGGGAACCATAGGGAACCATAGGAAACCATAGGGAACCATAGGGAACCATAGGAAACCATAGGGAACCATAGGGAACCATAGGGAACCATAGGAAACCATAGGGAACCATAGGGAACCATAGGGAACCACAGGGAACCATAGGGAACCATAGGAAACCATAGGGAACCATAGGAAACCATAGGGAACCAGAGAGAACCATAGGGAACCATAGGAAACCATAGGGAACCATAGGGAACCATAGGAAACCATAGGGAACCATAGGAAACCATAGGGAACCATAGGGAACCATAGGGAACCATAGGGAATCACAGGGAACCATAGGGAACCATAGGAAACCACAGGGAACCAGAGGAAACCAGAGGGAACCATAGGAAACCAGAGGGAACCATAGGGAACCATAAGAAACCATAGGGAAGCATAGGAAACCATAGGGAACCATAGGGAACCATAGGGAACCACAGGGAACCATAGGGAACCATAGGAAACCATAGGGAACCATAGGGAACCATAGGGAACCATAGGAAACCATAGGGTACCATAGGGAACCATAAGAAACCATAGGGAAGCATAGGAAACCATAGGGAACCATAGGAAACTGGTTTTTCTTAGGGTCAGCCACCGGATTTTCTCATTCCCCGATCGAAGCAGCCCAGTGGATTCGGAGGCAGCCCGCGTCCAGACCTACCAGTCCCAGGTACAGGCGCAGAGCTGAAAGAATTTGGGCGAGAGAGTTCTAGGGGTAACTTCCATTTCCATTGTTCTCAGGGATCCTTTCTAGAAAACCACCAAAAACCCTTGGGAAATGGCTGGTGGTTGAAAAGAACGAGGGCTAAACATAATGGGGAATCAACAAGTACAAGAGTGTCCCCGGCCCCATTAGACACCCTTTCAGGTGGTTGGCAGTTCCGGTCACCAGCGAATGGTTTTCAACATAGGCTGGTTTTTTGGTGGATGGGTTTCCACTTAACCCGACCCACTAAAAGTTTTTGACTTTGAGCAGGGGATCTGAGGAGCGCCCAGGTTTGGTGAAAAAGGAGACTTGTCAAGATGAGGTACCAGGGACCCTGTGGGTGCATGTTCATCCTGGGGAGGGTTTTATGCCATGAACAAGGGGGGAGGGAGTGAACACATGTTTTTTTTGGAGGGTTAATTCTTCAGGATACGATCGGTTCTCTTTGGGAGGGGGAGGTCATGGAGATCGTTACGTAGATCACAGATTTTTCCCCTTACGCAGAGGGTCTTTCGGTACCACATATCTCTCTTTTTTTTTTATATATGTATGTATATATATATATACACATTATATATTTATACTTATGTGCGGTTTGTTTCTTTCTCCGGGATCTGTTGCCGAATCCCCGGTTTCGAGCAAACCCTCCGGAAACATCTGGGACCCGTATCGTTTGGGACCCTTTGGGTTGCCGTGAAAGCAGGTGAGGTGGTGAAGGTTGGGTCAAAGGCATCTTCAGACCTGGAACGGGTTCCAATGGGTTCGATCGCTTCTCAAAGGAGAATGTGTGTAGCCTCCTAGAAAAGATATAGAATCCATTTAGGGTCACCACGATATGCATGTGTGTGTGTGCGCGTGCGTGCGTGTGTGCTTTTGTTCGAGGGTGCCCGTTTTGGCGTTGGTTTGAAACAACTCAAATGGAACCAAAGGTGTTGGTGCGGGAGGGGCCCTGCATGGTTTTTGTTTTCAAATCGGGACTCGGACCCCTCAAACCGTGGCTTCTGCTTAGCTTCGTGCACACCAAGGTACCCTCAACAGATACGCAAACCCACATTGGGCTCCTGGAGTCAGAAGCATTGTCCAAAAAGGGCTACTTTCACATCCGTGTGGGTGGGGTGGGGGGTAGTCTGTTTGTTTTTGAGGGAACCTTTGGTTGGGCTTGTTCTCAAGCGAAACCAACAATATTCTTGGGGTCCACCGCTTTCACACATTCCCATAGTGTGGTTGTTTGATGACCCAATGCACCTGCTGTCCCTTTCCCCGGAGGTTCCAAAGTACGTACCCCATAGTTTTCTGTTTGGGTTTGGTAAAAACGAGGATTCGTCAACTACAGATCCCTCAAATCCACAAATATGAGGTACCAAGGGACCCTTTGGGAAAGTCAAGTCTCTTCTTCTCTTTTTTTGCGAGCTTGTTGCAAGTAGGGGCCAGTAACAAATCCTTCAAGCTGGCAGGATTGACTGCAACCTGCTTGATCAACCAGAGGTCCCTTCCAAATGAGACCAGCATTAGCATGTTTAGACACGTGCCTGCACGGACGTGGCAAAAATATATACTCCCTTTTGCAGGGGTGCCAGTTTGGAAAGGAGGGTGCAGGGAAAGAATGAGAAAGTTACCCCTGGACGGTTAGCCTTGGGCATTTTGGCTACTTAGCAGGTCTTAACCATAGTTGGGGGACAAACTTGAGTTGCCAACTGCTTACTGTGGTTATAACCTACCTAGAGTCTCCATGACCTTTTAACCATGGGGTCATTACCCTAAATAATGGGGGTCATGGACCTATTCTTAAAGGGTCAGAAGGAGACTCCGGGTATTCAATGCGGTTGAACCTCCAGTACCAGACTCAGACCCCTCGGCGGAAAACTGCTTCCGTAGGATGAACGACGTGCTCTACAGCCAGTTCTCGCCTACGCGGCATCCGGAGGAGGCAGGATGAGACGGGAATCGCCACTGCCAGGGGTCAATGACCCCATTGTTTTGGGGTGATGAGCCACCATCTCTTAAGGGTCAGAAGGAGACTCCAGGTGGTTTGTTTTTCCCCAACAAGAAACCACAGGAGGGTCTCCTTTTTGTTGGGAATCGGACCCGGTTTTCACTTACAGCCAAGCCCACAAGGGGGGTACCATGAAAATGAGAAACCCAAAAAGGGATGGATGCTCCCCAACCAACATGGAGCCCCCCCAACAGTGAAGGGGTCCCCGACCTCTAGAGGTCCCAGAAAGGCTTAAACAATTACATTTGTCCTAGATCATGGCTGGTGTAGTACCCCACAGTGCCATCCTACTCGGGTGTTCGGCCAAATCAAGAAATGTTCTTGGCAACCTGGGGAAGAACCCACTTCTCAGCCCCCCGAAGTGCAAGCCTTGTTACTAGCAGTTTATAAGTGACGATCCCCACTTACTAACCTGGCGAACCGAAGATCCAAGTACTCTATCCCAGAGGGCCTCTAGGTACCTCCTGAGGATCGCTTTTGGGGGTAAAAGGGGGTCGTTCAGTACCTCCTTACAAGATACCAATAACAACCCTCTAGGGGTCTGAGAAAACCAACAACGCTCTGCTTTGGTTTCTCAAGTAGGTTTTTTCCCTCCATGGCCGCAAACCTTTCCGAGTCGACTCTGATTCAGGCGGCCTGGGCCGCGTTCTCAGAGCGGAAGTTGGCATCCCGCATGTCGTGCGTGGATGGTTGCGAAATCTATTCCGATCTCTGGAACGACGTGCGATTCCCCCTTTTAAATAGCGACAAACAATGGATGGTTTGATAGGTGGTGCGAGGATTTGAGATTTGTCCATCCACCGGTGAGTGTTCGTTTTAGGTGAGGTTGGTTCGAAATAAATGGGTTCCACTGGTTTAGATTGGTTTTTTAGACCACCATTTACCAGGGCCGTCTAAGCACCTATGCTTCAGGGTCTTTGCCCTCTTGTGGGCTCCGGTTTGGAGCGGTGGTTGCTGTTTGGGATGCTACCTAGGGCGAGGCAGGAGTTTCGCTTGACAATCAGCTATCACAAAGAAGAATGGCTGGTTTTTTTCCAATGGCCACTGGAGGTTGTCGTCATAGAACTTTACTTGGATGTTCAACTAACGTAAGAAGTAGGTTATGACCATGGTTAGGAGCGGGGTTGTCCGCTGATCACCATGGTTATAGCCTACCAAGTGGTTTAATCACCCAAGCACAAAGGGGTCCCTCAAATGGATATTGCGGTTCCGGCTTCTTTTTCACAAGAGTACACCAAGGTGAAGCTATGGGAAAGTAGGTGATGGCCCGGTGTAAGAGGTGTGTCTGTGCAAGCAACTTGCATTTTACTTTCCGCAGTATTCCCGACGTTTCATCCCCACAGGGGCCAAGTACTCACATTTACGGTTTTGGGTTTCTTTACGGGATTTGACCAGTAACTTACAGATTCCGTTTTTGTCTGTTGTTAATGCAATTCTGAGATACTAGAATCCTTGGATCTCCGGTGCTGTTTTACGTGCAAGGCTGGCTACATATGGGTGTTTCTCAAAATCGGGATCCCTCAATGGTGGGTTTTCGTTTGGTTTCCCTGTAGCTGCCAACAGGGGTTCTTGAGAAGCTCCCATATGAAACAACATAGTCATGTCTTTTCCGGCGTACCCCAATTGGTTGTCAGGGTGGCTCCTTTGCCCAGATGACCAAACCTCTAAGTGGTAGAGGTTGGGTAAACTTTGGTTTCTCGAGAAAACAATGAAGAACACTTTCCTCATTTCCTGAGCTTCTGAATTTTAGTAGCTCTTTGGAGCTGGACTATTTTGGCGGCAACTAAGAAGTTCAGACTTTTCTCGAGCCAATCCACTCAGCAATTGAGTTGCTGTTGGTTTCACAGGGACATGGTCACGGCGGTTTTTTTTGTTGACACCTTTAGGACATGGACAAACTCAAACACTTTGTGTTTTATAAACTCCATTCGCGGTATGCTTGTTTGCTCCTTGCTTTGATCAAAGCAACACATTTGACCATTTGATGTTTTCCCTCCAGCCCGAAACTGGATAGTGCAAGTCCCTATCCCCCCTTAGCTGATGAAATCAACAGGTTCCTGAAGGTCCTCAGCAGGATTGATCAGCCGCACATCAGAGGGAAGCTCAATCCGGATTCTCTGGAGCCTTCTTGGAGCACACTTCTGGGGTTCCCTTTTTGTTGGGTGTTCCTCAGAGCTGGCTCGGAGGTTCCTCTTGTTCCCGGCGAAAGCCAGGGGAGGTGAAAACCTGGGGCTTGGTCATCTTTCAAGAAATGGCAAGCTGCCTTGGCGGGCCATTGAGGTCCAAGTACCAGGGAGTAAACCATTACGTTGAGTGTGGGGTACTCCAAAACGAACCGTGACATGGTCATTAGATACGATGCGTAGTTAAGTTGAGCCACGCAAAAAAGAAAGAGAAGCAAGAACTTCGGAGTGTTTTGGTTAGAAGGGGCCACTCCATTGACGCTGCATGGACCCGGGATAAGTTGACAAGCCCGGCGAGCGTCAGCGAAGCGGCGAATCCGATTGAGGCGCAGCGATCTCCCATGAGGACAGGGGCCATTTGAATTGGCAAACATATGGCTGTGGGTCAAATCCAATGGTACCATTTTGGGGTAGGTCCACCACCCATTTTAGTCTATTCTAGTGGGGATTGGGATGTTCACTGGGGGTACGGGATTTTGACGCACAGCCATATTTCGGTGTACCTGGAGTGTCCTTCTGACCCTAAAAATGCTTGGTCACCCAAAATATTTCGGGGTAGTGACCAACCATTTTTAAAGGGTCATGGAGACTCCAGGTACATTTTTGTTGGCAGAGTTCTTTATCATTTTGGTCACGAGTCAACTGGGCAGGTCAAGGTGTGCGGTTTGGGGAGTGGGTGGTTTTTTTCTCTGGGTGCGAGATACACCAAGGTAGAATTATGGCACAATTTCGTTCAAGCAGGTAAGTAAGGCGATGACTAAACCAACATGCGGACACCGTGTCATGTATTCTGCAGCAGCTGTACTGGGTGACTGCTACTAGTTTGGCCTCGGACGTTGTGGTAGACATCATGGAAAGCTTAGCTCGGAGTAGCACATGGACTACGTCAAGTAAGCCGGCGTTATGCCAAACCCAGAGGGGTGTTGGGTTGGTCCAGGCAAAAGTCTGAGGTACCAATGGACCCTGTGGGCAGGGTACATGCCAAAGGAGTCCAAGGGTTTTTGTATTACAGCACATTCCCTGATAAAACCGTGCTATTTTGAACCATTCTGGGTCATGTCCCAATGGTGTAATCCTAGGGTGTAATACAAAAACCCTCAGATTTGTCTAGTCCATCTTGAGAGGCCAGGATTAGATCAGCCTCCGACCTAAACACTGACGGGGTTTGATGTATTCCTTTTGGGATGGTTGGAATATCACCTGGGGTCGATTTGGCAGTGGCTCAAAGTTAAAGAGCTAGGGGTACGAAGGTCTTGGTCCATGTTTCCCACTTACCAGGGCAACCCATTTTGGAATTCCGTTGTTTTGAGCCATACCCAATTGAATTGAGCTTTCCCGAAGATGCCACAGCAGCCAATCTGCTGGCCTGGAACATCCTCGGGAAGCGGTTGAAGGAGGTCACCGCGTTCTGCAGGCCGAAGAGCTGTGGGTAAGCAGGGCTCCTTACAAGAAATTCATTTTGCAACCATTTGAAACATGACTTTTTCCACCAAAATAAAAGGACACCACCATTTACAAGGCAATGCTCAGGTGTATAATGTAAGGATCCCTGGTAACCCATAGTTTGCCACCCGCCGAGTAGGTGTTTTAGCAAACATCGTGGCAGATTCCATGGTGCTTGTCACTACTCCTGGCGCGAGCACTTTTTTTCATGGGCGATTCCACGAATGGCATTGGAGAACGAGGTGCGCCGTGAGTTGGCGTGGGCCGAACGTCCTGACGATTGGTTAGACCTGGACTTGCCAAAGGGTTGTAGTGCCCTTTTATCCTTTTTTGGGGGAGGGTTCCCCTACTAAATAAAATAGACTACCGACAAAAGGGGGCCCTTATTCGAACCTCTCTACTGGAGGACCCAGTGGCCATCCAAAAGCCACTCTGAATGAGTACCAAGTTTGAAGTCTTCGGGTTTTGAGTGTGAGCGGCTGAACAAATGCCAGCATTCCAAGTGCTTCCCACTGTACAGAAATATATATAACAGGTAAGAAAAGGAACACCTTGATGTAAGTTCTACAGTGCATTGAAACTGGAAGAACTGGGTTTTGCTTCTATGCCCTGATAAAGGGCTATAAAGCTTATATAGGTATACGAGCATCCATAGCTCCAAAACCCATACCTGAACATGCCCTTGCTTGCTTTGCCTACTTCCTGAGAAAACTTGGTTTTGCTTCTATACCTTAACAATCATATATATATATATACATATGCATATGTATATATATATATACATACACACATATGTATATACGTACATGCATCCGACTCAGGCCGCCGACATTACAGGCCTGCTTTATTATATGTGTCCCTTTGGATTTTTCCCATTGGAAGTTGTTTGTTGTTGTTTGTTCTTCTCTGGAATGATCCCATTGGACTTGTCCCGTTGGAAGTTTCCCTTTAAACTTTTCCCATACGAAGTGTCCCTTTGCATGTTGTCCTTCAATATGTTCTTTTGGGAATGTCCCATCGGAATTCATTCTCCCATGGGAAGTCTCGCTTTGGCAGTTTCTGTTTGGAATTGTCCCTTTGGAATTGTCCCTTTGGACTCTAGAATTTTCCCATTGGATGGTGTTCTCATTGGAAGTCTCCTTTTGAGTTTCCCCTCTGGAGTTGTCCCATTGTCCCATTCGAAATGTTACCTTTGATTCTTTTGGGAATGCGCCCATTAGACTTCGATCTTTGGAGTTTTATGACTTTCCCATAAGAATTATCCATTTGGAACATTGACAAATACTAATAGAGTGAAACCAGAAGAATGTTAATGGCTTACAAGCTGAACATATTAGTGGCTGAACGTGCTAACATATCCTTTGTTTAAATTATGAACATCTTAATGGCTTAAAAACTATGAACATCTTACTGGCTGGACAGATTAAAATATGAATGGCTGAACATCTGAACATCTTAATGGATCAAACCCTGAAGCAACTGAATGGCTTATACTCTTATGGCTTAACGTGTTAACATCTCAATGGCTTAGAACATTAGATTATTAGTGGCTTTAAGTGTTCAATCCTCAATGGCTTGAAACCTTCGAATCTCAATGGAGCAACAATTTACATATTAGTGTCTTAGCATGTTACAGTCTTAATGGCTTAAGGTCTTAACACCCCGATGGCACACATTAAATAAAAACAACAAACAACATGGCTTCAAGTCTTAGAGTCTTAAATGGCTCAATATTATTGAATCTGATTTTTCTTAAAGTCTAAAACAATCTTAGTGGATTAACAGCTAAACATTTTAGCGGCTGAACATCTTGGATGCCACAAGACACGAATAGGGACCCTTCATTTGACCCTCTTTGCTGGTGCTGCTGAGGATGCAAAAGCGGACCGCGATGGGAATCGGACACCCCAAGGTTTGTGCGAAACCTACGAAAAGGGAGCGTCTTGGCCATCCCCTCTTCAACGTCGGGGGAGGGGGAAGGGGAAAAGGAGAGTTTCTTTTGTCCAATACGTCGTCTGTTGGCGGATACATACACATACATATACATAGACATATACATATATGTATTTATATCTATACATGTATATATACATTATTTATATATATATATATATGCACATACACATACGCACACACACATCTATACACATACATACATACATACATACATACATACAAACAAACGCCCAAATGTACGTGCCTTTGCTCCTCGGAAGAACGCTGCTTTGGGCAGCTCAGGAGTGCGCTCGCCTCCCGGGGTCCGGTGGAATTGCCGGTGCCGAAGTGGCAAGGCGGTCTAGGCGGCGGTTGCGTTGGTGGCGCGGGTGGTGCGGTGGGTTTCGGGGTCCAAAGGGGCGGGTCTTGTTTTTTGGGAGTCAGTGTTCCTTTTTGTTGGGTCTGGTTTTGGGAGTTGGTGTTCCTTTTGGTGGGTCTGTTTCTTGGAGTCAGTGTTCCTTTTCTTGGTTTTTCGGGGATCTTGGCCTGAGAAGCATGCTGCGGGTATGGAGGCGCACTCATTGTTGTGCAGCGTCTTGAGGGGCGGCACCACTTGGTGCGCCAAAGCATGAGTCGCAGGCCCAACCCCTTGCTGGCTTGCGTCGGCACCACAACCCCGACGTGTGTATGGATGCTTTGAGGAGCAGTTGCAGAACCTCACGCAGCGCACGGGCGAGTGTCGCAGCCGTGGCGCTCGTGACGGCAACTGCTTAGATATTGTTTACGGCTCGAGGCTTGACAGCATGCGCCCCGACACAGATCCTTTATTCAAGGGGCTCTAAACTCTAAACTAGTCTCACAGATGGGTACCCGCGTCAGGTGCCATCGGCATATATGATGGCTGACTGCATGGTCATGCTGGATTCATACTTTTCTGGCGGCCTACCAGTCCCTTGCTGGCCGAGAAGGCAGCCGAGTGAAGAAATTGACGGTGCACTTTGCTACCTTGTGGAGAAGCGCCCAACCCTTTCAAGCCGAGGTCATGTCAGCACTGATGGCAGAGCCAATTTGGCGGCAATTGGCGGGGCTACCAGCAACGTGGAACACCCTAGGCTGGTGGCGTGGCCTACTGTAGCAATTGTGGCCTTTGGTGACACATCAATCCGGGCTGCGTCTGTCAGCGAAACCAAAAGGATATTCCTGGAGTCTCCATGACCCTTTGGAAATGGGTCAATGACCCCATTTTTTTAGGTAATGACCCCTTTTTTTCAAGGGTCATGGAGACTCCAGGTTGGAGTGTGGCTCGCCTGTTTTTGGGGCTTGGCACGCTATGGAGGCCCCCGAAAGGGATCCCGAAACAGAAGACTTGGTTCCAGAGGCCAATTGGGGGAGCTTCCATGATAGCCCGAGGGAGTGTATCCCCTTTTGGGTAGTTGCTTAAGGGTTAAGAGTCTGAAGAGGGAATCGGAAGGCGTTTTTTTTGAGGCTCGGTATCCTCTTATTTTTGGTTGGGTTTAGAGGGAAACCATGCTGGGGGGGGGGTCCGATTCCTTCTTTGGACACCCCTAAATGTTGGTGTCCTCTTGGGATTCGGGATGCCCAAGGGTTGGCACTTTTTGGGATACTTGATTGTTTTGGCACACATTCCGAACACCGTATATAGGTGAGTAACCTAATGATCCTGTCTGCTACCCACCTGGGACGGCACTAAAAGGATGGCTGTGAGCCATGTTTTCTGCAGAAAAGTACCTCCAAAAGCCCCAAGGACCTTCTGTTTTAATGGATATTTGTTGGAAAACCGATTGAATTTCCTAGGAAAGGGTCGACTCGACCTCATACACTAGACTGTATCTCAGAGTTCCTGTCCTGACTAGAAGAGAGGATAAAACTGTCAGTGTCTTGCTTTGTGGCTGAACGAAGCTCCCTTGCTATGATACCTACTTACATGCCTTCAACACCCAAGTAATGAAAGAATCCTTTTTAGATCTGGCTGGCAATTGATGGCACTGGTTTTAGTTTGTTTCTAAGTTTAAAGCAGTACTCCTATCAATCGATCCGCAACCAAAGGCTTGCCACCCAAAACAAAAACAGAAAGGACCATTGCGAAGGGCTGCCTAGGGACCCCAGTGCCCTTTTGCCCTTTTTTGGGGTGAGCGTTCTACCAAAATAGAGCACAGAAAAAGGGTACCAACTTATTCTAACCTCTCTACTGGAGGACCTAGTGTACGATATGGGCGCAACACCGATCGGAATGCACTGGGTTGGTTGGGTCCCGTCTCCAGGCGCGTCGGGCCGCAGCAAGAGCCCGCCTGGGAGCAGACTGCCCGGCTGGACGCGAGGCGGAGCTGCGTCCGAAGTGAAAGCGATTGAGAAAATCCTGGGCCAAAGGGCCTTGTTTGTTGTTGTTGTTTTTTCGTTTTTCAGGACACTCAGGAACCCCCCATGTGTTTTTTGCGTATTCAATCCCAAAAAGGGTACCCTGCCAATCAAGAGGCCCATGACAAACTGGTTGTGAATTTCTCATGATGCCCACCAAGGGTTCCCATATGTATAGTTGGATGTTCAGGCCAGGTTGGGAAGTGGTCTGGGATATAACCCACTGATGATTGGGTTAATCCCACTTAAGGAGGCTTATAAGTGCCTTACAACTAACTTGGCCGAACACCCAGGTACCCATTGGAGGGGGGTCAGCTTACTTTTTAGGGTTGGGTTCCCTTTAGTCCTCCATTTAGCTTGGACGCTGTAACTTTGGAGTTAGGAGGGGGGAAGGGATCAATTTGTTTGGTAGGCAGTCAATTTGCCAGTTGGCACCCCCTGAAAAGCCGGCAGAGGACAAGTCCCCACCTAAATGATGATGAACACGAAATCCTTGCTCCCTCTTCTTGGTCAGACAAGACAGCCTTGGGATGGTTTTTTACGAAATCAGGAGGCCCGCCATGGAAACCGGTTTTTGACGTAGGACGTGCGAGTTGCAAGCTCCCCGAGTTCGACTTTGGAACGTTTAGGTTTGGGACCCTCAGGATTTGTTTTGCCGATCCACGGAAGCGAGAGAAGCCTTGACCTTTTCTTGGTGTTGAAAGGGACATACCCTCCCATCAGCTAGCATGGAACCTGATTGAGGGATGCTGGAAGACCGTTCAAAGGGTTCCCAATGTTGGTTTCGTTTTGGGGTTGGTGTAACAGGACGCCAAGAAGAAAACCACCAATTGTGGGGTTCTCCAATTGTATCACCCCGTTGTAATTAAACACCCTAGGGCCCGAACGCCGTTGCCATGACCTGTGTGAAACTCTGAGCATCAGGCCCCAAAGACAAAGGGAGCAGAACATGGGCAGAATCAATCTACCATTTGCTTAGGACTATGTTTCATTTCTCCCTGGGTTTGAAGAGAATCTATCACCAGAACTATGATTTTCATTTTTGGGGGCGGACAAAAAAGCAAATGGAGGCAAACATTTCAAGCCACTTGATTTCTTTGCCTTATTTTTGGAGACACACACACACACACACCAAAAAACAGCGAAAATGGGAGCCCGGGGGCCCGGACGAAGTTGTTGGGGGTTGCCAGGCACGTGCCGCAGCTTGAGCCCCCCTGGCAGTCCATCCAGCCGGGGCCCTGGATCTTTTCGGTTTCGTTTGGCAGCTGAGTTTCCTTGGTGGCCCCCAGCCGTCCGGTTCCTTAGCCTTTTATGCTTTTAGGGTTTAGTGGCAGCTTCCGTTCAAACCACTAAAAGTAAAACTTTTAGCGGGGGATCTGAAGGCAGCCCACCGAACGCACCAAAAGTTGTCGACTTTTCGTCGGGGATCGAAGGGGAACTGCCCAGTTTTGACCTTTTGATTTCCTTTTTTTGGTCCTTTCCCAGACAATCCGTTTGTACGTACTACATTTCTATATAGATAGATATTTTTTAATGTATACATATATATATATATATATATATATATGTATGTACAGGCTGAATGTATGTGTCTAGATCTATGCCCTATATGACCCCCTGCCCAAAGAGTCCCTTGGTGCCCCACATTCACGGTTTTTGGTTTAGTTCTTTCTGGGATTCGTTAGTTTGCAGCTTCCGACCAAGTCCGCGTACATGTGAGGTAGCTTTTGGGACCCTTTCCCTGTGGATCCAGTTACCTGGTTAGGTAACCAAGGGCTTACCACCTGAGCCACTTGCTCAAAACCTGGGTAGATGAAGGTTAGTAAGGGACAATCCCAGCCATAAATAGTTGCGGATATTACATGGTTCTGGGTTCATCATTTTTGTACCAGGTTTTGATTATGACTCACCTGATATAAGAATCAAAAAGAACGTGCACTGGGTTTGGCTTTGACCTGTTGAGTCCCATGTGTAGTGGCCCCAGTCACGGTGACCACCGAGAAAGTTCATGCTCTGACAAGGGCAAGGCTTCGTTTCACACAGAATGTTCGCCAAGCGTCAAATTGTACCCAGAGGGTCCAGGTACGTGCTATATAATAATAGTAACAATAATAATAAGAATAATGATAATAATAATATGAATAATAATAAGCATAGCAACACAATAACAATAGTACTGTGTAGGGGTACCACATATATATATATATATGTATATCTGGACTGTCACCCTCAAGCTACCTAAAACAAAGGGGAACTTATCCCACAATTTTGTGGCGATATTCAATCTTTAAAGGTGTTTCGAGGGTCCAGGTATATAGTTGTGGGTTTGGTGAAAACCGGAATTCGACAATTATCGATTTGTTCTTATCCGCAATGAGGCCAGGGATCCTTTCGATGTTCCCTTTGTGTAAGGATTCATGTTTTTTTTTGAAATAATGCTGCACCCTGGGGGGCGAGTTGCATCATGTGAGAGTGCGCCAACACAAAAAAAAAACCCAAACTGGTGGTGTTGTGGGTGGTTTCCCTGCAACTTTCTCTGCAAAGCTTCCCATAAAGGGGCATTGGTCCTTGTTGTGCAAAAGATTGCAGGTCCCGAGACCCAGGGGAACCAATAGGGACGTGGCAAACCCCCTCCCGAGACGGGAAAGCACCGAGTTCTACTTCTTCATTTTCTCCATTCGTTGTATCTTGGCAAATTAAGATCCTGTGACTGTTTAAAATAACTGCTTTTTATCTACCCACCCGCTTGGGTGATCGATTTGCCAAGATAGTAAGTTGTCGGATACCTAGGTTATACCCCAAGTGGCCGCAACGTGGCAACGCGTATGCTAAGCTGTGGCGTTTCGTGGGTGTTTTTCCCATTGTGTTACGCCGATCCCGTGGCTCCACGAATCTCCGCGAATCGGTCGATTCCAGGCGCTTGTCGCCCCACACTGCTGGCCTCCAACGACTGCCTGCGTCGGCTCCGCTGGCGGCAGTCGGATGAGCACGCCGAGGCCGAGCGAGCGACTACTTTGGAGTGTTACAACGACCAGCTTACAGTTACGACTATAGTTGGTAACCAGGCGAAACCATGATGTAAACACATGCCTGGTGGCCTACTATAGTGGAAACTGCGAGGACCTACGGAGCCAAGTGGAGCAGGGTAAGCGGGCAAAACGAAGTCTCCTCACCCTTGCTGGACTGTACTTTGACCTCGTTCCTGTAAGGATTGTTGCAGAGCTTTAGACCAGCAGGATTCCGCGTCTCAAATTCTGGGCTCTTCGAAGTCAAACCTGGGCAAGTTGAGCGAAGAAGACGCTTCGGACTGAGCCACCTGACCTTTTGAACCAACACAAGCGAGACCCCTGACCCCAAAGTGGGCCTTTTTTGGACATACCCTTGTTTGAGTTTTGAATGAACTGGTGTTTGCACCCCTCCATACTAGTGCTTGGACTAGATCTTTATGTGGAGCTTCCTCCATGAGCAAAGAACCCAAAGAAGCATTTGGGTGGGTCTGTTTTAAGGGCACCCCCTTTGGTGGCTTTGAAGGGAAACCAACACAACATTCACCACTCTGGGATGTGGGATGTCCAACCTTAAGACACACATTTGCAGGCTCCATTGTCAGTCAGTTGCGAGGATCAAGTCTCCGGATTGACGACCCCTTTGAGTCACTTTGAGCAGGGCTGTAGGGTTAAAGTACCTGAAGGAGCTGTTGGAACCTGTGAAATAAGTTAATCAGTGACCTGCAGAAAGTGAGGTGAGCAACTTGCTTTCCCAACAAATCCCTCGGTACCTCATGTTATGTCAGATCTGCGGATTTGAGGAATCTGCGATAGGCAGATCCCCTTGAACTAAACCCAGAGCTAGACTAAATATGCAGTACTGTTTGGGACCCTTTGGGTTCGGCTGATGGTATTTCTAGAGTGGATTATCTTCAGCTTGCGGCATCTTGCAGCAAGAGCAGGAAAGCAAGGTGAAAAACCAGAGAGGCCATGTGGGTGTGTGTTTCCATTTGCTGTTGCTTTACTGTCGCAAGAGTAGGCGAGGTGCAAAACCATAGAGGCCATGTGGGCGTGTTTTCCATCTGCCGTTCCTTTTCTGGGGGTCTGCTTCAAAACTGAAGCAGAATCAGAGCGTATCTGGCATATCTCATTGTTGTGCACCTGGACCCTTACAATTCCCGGCAGCGCCGTGCCAGGACCAGATCACCAAGATCCTGTCCTACGAGCAGAAGCTGACCCGCCAATGGACCGCCTCCGAGCTGCGGCCCCAAAGGAGGGACCAGAAACCGAGCGTGAAAAGTGGATGTTTGCCAAAAAATAGTTACTCAGTGGTTCCCAGCCATCCCCTGAGCTTTTTAGTTTTTCAGTGTTTAGCGGGAATTTCCATTTAACCTGCTAAAAGTCAAACTTTTAGCGGGGGCTCCGAGGGCAGCCAGGTGCACCTGGAGTCTCCTTCCGACCCGAAATAAAAATGGGTCCATGACCAACCATTCTTTGGGGTCAGAAGGAAACTCCAGGCTGATGTTGGCCAAATGAATTAGCGCAGCTTTCGCCGAATGGGAGTGGCTGAAACATGTACAGCTTGTGGTGACATCCGCCTCGTTTTTTTGTGCAGGGCAGAACTGGGTGTACACCGCTTGTGATAATTTGCCCATATTTTTCCGGTTTTGGGTTTGGTGAACGGTTTGTCAACAGATTCCGAACAAATCCGCAAACTATATGAGGTACCTTGAGTGTGTTTCCGATTTGACTTTGCCATGTTACCCCAAGGACACGCTCGCTTCACGTGTTTCTGTTCTCAGTTGCCCAAATCGAATCGACTTGGTTTCCCCTTGGGTCATTTTTTAGCGGCCCCAGTCACGGTGATCACCTTCTATGTCCAGCTCCGTGCGTTGGGCAAGCGAGTACCTGGAGTCTCCTTCTGACCCTTAACAAATGGTTGGTCATTACCCAAAATAATGGTTGGTCATTGACCCATTTTTAAAGGGTCGTGGAGACTCCAGGTAATCTCAACTTCGGAATGCGGAGACCGGACAAATTTTGGGGCAGTGTGTCCAGCTACGTACCACGAGAGTAGGTGACCAGGGGAAAACCTCATGTAAAACCTGGAGGTAGCCATACCTGTTACCTGCTATAGTGGAAACTGGAAGCACTGGGAAGGGCATGATCTATTTTAGGGGTCACTTGACTTGCTGGTGCTCGATAGCTAGGGAATGACAACGAGTCCGGGTGTTGAGAATGAACCGGTTTTGGGGATTCTCAAATAAAGGAAACCACCAATTGGATGGTGTATGGGGGTCATTCCCTCATTCCCTGCTGATCACCAGCGAGTTGAGGGTCCTCCGGATTCCGAACATTAAGCAGGAGGCGTCTTTGGCCGTTCAACCCTGATAGGTTTTCGGAGCACGCCTCGAACACATTCGGGTCAAGTGAAAAGCAAGTCCCAGCAGCGAAGATTCTTTTGGCGTTGGCTGCATTCTATGTCAAACCAGGAACTTAGGCAGCAACTTGTTTCTCAGTTGGGAATTTGTTGAGAGGTTCCGGGAATGAATCTGTTGAATCTCTTTGAGCACCACAAGGGATGGTTCATACAAGTCACTCCCAACAGTGTGCTGAGAACCGCAATCTAAGGACTCGCAAAGAACCTTTCCGGGGGGGGGACTTTCTCCCTCAAGGGAGTTTCGCACGGTAGGAACTTGAGCACAACTAATTTTGGTTTTGAAGGAGTTTAGGCAAACCCTGCGTTTTGGGGTTGAACACCCCATAGTAAAAGTTTCACATTGTGAGTTGCTTGCCCTTTCCCAGAGGCTTCCGCTAGCTGGCTCCGCCCAGGTTCCGCGTCATCCGCGAGGAGTTACGCAGCCCCATCTACCGAGACGCCGCGAAGCCCGGGCCCAGCGTTGCTTGCGTTGCGGGCGGGTCATCTGCCTACTGTTGTGTTCAAGCTAGTAAGTAGATTTTAACCCTGGTGACAAGAGGAGTAGTTACAGTTGCCCCCCTTACAATCATGTTTACAACCTACTCACTGAGTTGGCTGGACATCCAAGTAATCTGCTTAGCTTATGGCAGGCTCACCTGCCTAAGGCTTTTGACACCCCCAATGCAGATTCCCGGGCCCCCCAACAAAGACCCCCGACCCCTCAACGCGAAGACCCAACAGCAATCGGCATCCTTAGGGTGAGGAGTAAATGAGCTCACCAGATGTAGGTCCTTTGCTTAGATCCCTGACTGCATTGCCGCCCCCCACTCTGCCATGCTTTTCCAGCTAATCACTTAGCAGGGCCGTGGTTCGGGTTCTGATTTGGGGGAACAAGGGCGAACAAGGGCGAGGGGGACTAGGATGATTATCCAGATTCTATGACACAACATTTTTTTGTTTCTGAACATCTCCATCAGCCTTATGTCTAGAGGCCGAATCGGGGAACACTAGCACAACATGGAGGGGTCGGACCCGGTTCTGAGGGCCGTGAATGGAGTGGCTTGGGAGTTTCTGCAAGCAAAAGGCGGTAGCCAAACTCAAAGGGCACTTGCCCTTACACCCATCCGCTTTTTTTAGGATATGATGTCGACATATGTCGACCCTTTACTAGAAACATTGGTTATTACTGGGAAAACCTGGTTTTCCAAACAGAACGCTCTGATTGCTGGGAACGATGTTCATACTTCCCTTGATCGGTCCAATTGATAGCTTGTTCCCAGTGATTCCTCGCCTGCAAGCGTGAACAACTTGTAGTCGCCCTCGCTGATCACTTCCACTGTATATATATATATATATAAGAGCCTGCTCAACGGTGGAAGCGATGCTCCAACCAGTGAGGTGGTGAGATGATCCTGTTTGACTCGCCGAGATAGATGACCGAAGCTGATGGCACATTCGATTTCGTTGAGGAGGACAGCGAACAATGAGGAGTGGCTAGACTTTTCTCATACCTGGCTTCGGCGCAGCTAGCCGCATATTGTGTGCTCGACACCTCGATTGATGGGTATTTGGAGTAGGGGGGTATTTTCCCCTTTCAGGGATTCCTCTTTTCATGTGCGCCATGTTTTTTGCCCCGGGCATCGAAATCATCAAGTCCCAGCCTGTCGAAGCTTGCAACCCTGAGCCTGGTGTGCAGTTTCCAAAACGAAAGTCAGGGAAGAGTGGGTGTTTTTTTTACTCCTTTTGGGATTGGGTGAAGGGCGATGAAAGGGAAACCACGCATTTTCAGGATTCCCCTATTTTGATACAAACCATATTTGGCAATGAATATAGACAGGGAATCACCTCAAAAGTGGTTGGTGAACGTTAATCACCCACCTAAATGATGTCCACATGGTGTTTTAACACAGACACATTCGGGTCCCAACGGCACTTGGGTGTTCAAGCTAGATTATTTCATGGTTATAAGGTACTAAGCCCAGTTACCCCACTTATGACCATGATTCTACCCTGCTCCAAGGCTCTTGACTCCTTCCAACGCAGACCCCCGGCCCCAATGAAGAGCCCCCACCTCTCAGGGACCCTTGAAAACAACCAATGCGACCCAAAGACCATCAGGAGCCTTAAGTTGGTTATAAGGCCCAGCTACCTTACTTATGACCAAAGCCAGCGGAAACCGCGAAAAGAAACCGGTAACGCCGAAACAAATGGCAGCAACACCGAACAGATTAGCAGTAACAGACAAGACTGGTAACACACAAGACGGGTAACACACAAGACGGGTAACACACAAGACTGGTAACACACAACAGCTTCCCCAGAGCTCCAGAAGCACCTTTCGACCCATTTTTTACCCCAAAACGCATGGCACGTCCCATCCTCCTCAAACGCTTCGTTCGGAGGGGCCCTTCCACTTTGGCACGGAGGGTGAGATCCCCACCAAGGCAGGCCGTGAGGTGAAGCAAGGGGTTCCACTGCCGAGGAAAGACATGGCCGTGGTTGTTTTGGGGGGATTGATTGATTAGGGTTGGCGTGTTTTGTTTTTAAGGGGGGAACCCTTTTTGGTTGGGTTTTAAGGACTTCTCCCTGGGATTTATTGATTAGGTTTGGTGTTTTTTTGTTTTTAAGGGGGGAACCCCTTTTGGTTGGGTTGTAATGACTTCTCTCTGGGAATTATTGATTAGGGTTGGTGTCCTTTTTTTTAGGGGACCCCCCTTTTGGTTGGGTTTTAGCGGCTTCTCTATGGGATTTATGGACTAGGGTTGGTGTCTTTTTTCTTTTGGTCGGGTTTTAATGGCTTCTCTACGGGAATTATTTTTTTCCCAGGGGGAACCCTTTTAGTTGGTTTTATTGACTTCGCTATGGGATGTATTGATTAGGGTTGGTGTCCTGTCTTTTAGGGGAACCACCTTTTGGATGTGTTTTAATGACTGTTGATAGGTAATGGCATACCGACGTGATACTGGCTCAAGTAAAACAAGCTGCCGCCTGTGCTGAGTTTTAGGTAGATCCCACCTTTCAACAGGTTATCAGCCGTATCGCTGGTACCTTGTACAGTCAGCTCTCACCCGCGCCGCAATGGCGTCAAGCGGCGACGGATGCCACCCTGCCATAGCAAGGATGAACGAAGCAGTGGCCAACGAATTGATCAAGGGTGGGCATTCGGAAGGGAAACCGCCATGCAATCCGTCGCAGCGCTCCCGAAGCAGTTTTCCTGAATCCGACCAAGGTGACGCGCTTGTGCCCATCACTTCGGTCGTCCTTCCGGAGGATTCAATGGGAAGCAGAGGGGAACCTCTTGCCGGACATCAACCTGGGCAAGAGATGCACGCGCACATGACTAAGAATGAGACTCACCTTCATCAACATCATGTGAGCGCCCCGAATATATATCAACATAGCCAGACGGTGAATGTGGTCAACACAGGTCCGAGCACGGAGGAAGTGGCTGCCTATGCTTCGGCACGCCACGACGCCATCATCAATCAGCTCCAAGCCGGCCATGTTGAGGAAAAAGGCCGACTCTATCAGGACGCGGTGAACCACATCAATGTATGCCAACAAGAGGCAATGGCGAAAGAAAGAGAGTTTAACGAGGCAAGACAGCAGTGGGTTGCTCAACGCTCAGAAGCTGAACAGAAGTATGAACGGCTCAAATTGATTTGGGAAGTCACCCACAACAAGCAGAAGGAGGATGCGGACAGGAACGCTGCTGAAATGAGGGAGATTATCATGAAGCAGTCGAGGGACATTGAGGCACTACGTCATGAACTGAAATCTCGCAGTGAGCAGAGTAGTTCTTCTAATGTTCCGATTTTCGGTCTGAGGCCAAAGGCCTCTCCTGTACAGACGTTTCCTCCCCCTGGCCTGGATCTTAGTTCTAAGGTACGTGTCAGGTCAGCTTCCACCGAACTCCGCCGTGACGGGCCAGGTGCCGCCGATGATCTTGACGGGGATGCCGGGGATTACGAACCGACATCTCCGGCACAGGACCTTAACGATGGTGGCGGATGTCCATCAGGCGCAGGGAATGGCCAGAGCGGAGGCGGTGGGGAACCACCTGCCGGTAATCCCGATGATGACGATGATCCTGACGACGACGATGACGATGGGAATGACGATGGGAAGAAGAGCAAGAAGGACAAGAAGAAGAAGAAGAAGGATAAAAAGAAGAAGAGCAAGAAGGACAAGAAGAAGAAGAAGAAGAGCCACAAGAAGCGAAAGAGTGGGTCTCCTTCCGACTCTCCAAGCTCTTCATCATCCAGCTCCTCAACATCATCATCCTCATCATCATCATCGGAGAAGGCACGAGTGATCCGCAAGAAGCTCAACAAGATCTTGGGTAAGCAGGCGAGCGCAGTGGACGCAGACCATGACAAGCCCAAGGTCAAGGAGGCGGAGAGGATTATCATTCCCTCCTTCCCACTTCCTGAGAGTTACAGGAATTGGCGCATCAAGGTGCGGGAAGCCGTATGCGCGGCATCCGATCGCCCCGATGACGCCTTCACGTGGATCAGCAGAGTGTGGGAGCCCGCCGTTACAATCGAGGAGCTCAAAGAACCCGGTACTTTCCTCACCTTGGACGCCAAGTAGCTATCCGCCCTCACCAACATCATTCAGGGTGACCTGGCGAGACAAGTCGACACCTTCAAGGAGGTAGAGGCGCAGAAGAGGAATCCAGTTCGTGGGAGACAAGTGCTTCTCATGGTGCACGAGCACCTGAGCACGAACATCAAGCACGGAGCCACCTATGCCATGGAAGATCTCCTCAACGTGAGGCTCGTGAACGATAACCTCACTTCCTTCATGCGTAGCTGGGAGGGTGTTCTTGCAGGAATGAATGCCAAGACACCGGATGACTCCATGCTTGAGGCTCTGTTCTACAACCAGCTGAAAAAGAGCAAGCAAATGCAACACCATTTGAATGTCTATTTGAGCGCCTCGGAAGAGTCCGCCGATCACTCATACACCTACTTGATTGAATCTGTGAGGCAATACCTGTCTCGAGCAAGGCTCGAGCGCAACCGAGAACGGGTTGCTAGGCAGAACGGGGGTAGGCCAGCCGCACCCGCCGCTGAGAGCCAACGTGTGCCTAAGGGGTTTTGCATTGCATTTGTCAAGTATGGGTCGTGTCGGCGGGACAATTGCACGTACAAGCATGAACAGCCATCGGGCGATGCAAGGGGTAGGACCCCATCAAGAGACGCTAAGCCAAAGAAGGGTAAGGGTAAAGGCCGAACGAATAGCCCAAAGGGAAAGAAAGAGTGCCGTTTCTACCCTAAGGGGAGGTGTGACCGTGGTGAGAACTGCCCATTTGCTCACATCGACCCGAAGCCGGCCGTTCCAGGGTCAAGGGAGCCATCCGCAGACAGGCAAAAGAAGCAGGGAAAAGATCGGAAGCATCGCAAATCGAGCAGGGATCGTTCCAAGTCGACCTCTCGATCCACTTCCCGTGATTCCAAGGGAGAAAAGAAGAAGGGTCACAAGGGAAAGTCTTCCGGAAAGCCCTCTCCTGCTGCCGTTTGCGTGTTGGGATGCCTATTGTCTTCCATGATGAACGCCCCTATCGCTGAGGGGAACCTCATGTCGGACTGGAAGCATGTGCCTGCCCTCCCGAGCGTGCGTTTCAGCTCGAAGGTTGAAATGAATAGGATACCAGCACATGGTGAGCAGTTTAAGATCGCGGACAAACCGCGCGTGTATCCAAAGGTCTACCCAATCGACCATCAGTTTTTCCATGATGATGTTAGCATAGATGATGCTAGACTCGAAGCAACCATGCTCGCCTTCATTGTGAGGCGTGAATTGGAAGGCCATCCGACTAGATGCAACTACGAATGTGACAGCGAGATCGGATGCTGGCAATGCGCCCCGAGAGACATGGGCGCAAAGCCCGCCTTGGCGAGCAAGAGATTCTCTCCGAACTGTTCATGGATTATTGACACTGGGAGCGGGACTGATCTTTTTACACGTGCGAATTGCCCCGAATATGCAATTTATAATTCAAATGATCCCGTGATGTTGATGACTGCCAATGGACCAAGTGATTCGTCAAAGCAGGCCAACATGGCCGCAGGTGACCTTGGGAACACGGATCCATATTTGTTGCCACAAACACCCTCTGTTCTCTCCGTAGGTTTGAAATGCATGAATCAGGGTTATGACTTCATATGGCATGCAAAAGAGAAGCCATTCTTTGTCAAGCCTGATGGGACGAGAATTTATCTCAAAGTTCGAGATTATGTCCCGTACTACGACGTGTGGGATGGCGACTCAGCAATGGCGTGTCCCGCCAAAGGCACACCGCCAAGCCGACCGGAAGGTCAGGTCGCCAGAAGCAATGCACCGAATGAATCGTCACACTCCTCCTCCGTGCAAACTGAGGATGCCGCGGAAGAAGAGTATACGCCTAGCATTGCCCCTCTAGAGGATCCTGAGGTGCATGCTAGAGTTGTCGCCGAGCTTCTGGCGAATGACCCCGTTGAAGTCCATCCAAATGAACTTGCTGAGCCATTAGAGAGTAAAGATTTGGCAGGGGAAGATGTTGTTGGCAACCCCGATAAGAAAAGCCCCAGATCACTTGCAGAAAGTGCCCTAAGGCAGGAAGCAGCATCGCGGAAACACCTAATGACACACCAGCCAAAGAATCCATTCTGCGAAGTGTGCAAATGCGCCAAGATGACCAAGTCTCCCTCTCGCTCGCGGGGGGGATCCAGACAAGTTGATGCTCGAAAATTTGCTGAGCATATCACAGCCGATTTCATAATCACTGCAGACGAACAGGAGCTAGGCATAGACGATGAGTACTCTGCCCTTGTCATAAGTGACGTTGCCACCGGTTTCAAATACGCATATCCTTTTGCTAAAAGAAACACGGAAGCCACTGTGAAAGCGTTTCAGCATTTCACTTCCTCGTCAGACGAGGTTGGCACGTTTTATAGTGACAACGCCCCTGAGTTAATTGCTGCAGCTGAACAGATGGGCTGGAGACATGTCCTCAGCCAAGAGTACATTCATAAAACGAACGCGGTGGCTGAACGAAGCATCAGAACCGTGCTCGAGGGAACTCGAGTCGCACTTGCACAGGCCGGGTTGAATCATTCATACTGGCCGCACGCCGCAAGGCACTGGTGTTTATCTCAGAATGTTTGTGAGCCACCTTCTGGTTCCAGAACACCGTGGAATCTTAGGTTCGAAGATGAGTTCAAAGGTCAGTTCTTGCCGTTCGGATGTCGCATAGACTACTGGATTGGCCCAAGACAGAAACCGAAGAAGGACTTGAAGTTTGATCCCACGTCCAATCCGGGAGTGTTTGTCGGGTATGTTATCCACCCCGGCTTTCTCTGGAGAGGTGACTACCTCGTTGCATCGTTGAAAGAGCTGAATGAAACGGACTTTGATGATGTTGTGAAGTTGCATCGTGTTTTCAAAATCACGAGGCCCGATGGAAACTTTGTTTTCCCGATGCAGGACCGTTACAAGTCCCTTCGAGAGGGTAAGATTTCATCAAGTCAGTCTGGTCCCACCATTCAGGATGCCCCTCTCCTAGAAGCGGGACAAGATCCGGAGGCTGTTGCCGATGTGGAAGATGAGACGCTTCTAGATGAACCTGCTCCATCCAAGGTGAAAACAATCAAAACTGTTGATCACAAAACTGGTGGGTTAGTTGAAATCCCGAAAGAAGGATCCTCATTCTCAGAGGCGGGAGGCATTCTGGTGAGGAAGTACAAAGGGACTAACCGACCACCCACTATATCCTCTTTCGTTTGGCAATCTATGTCTCAGAAGCAGCGTAGAGAGGCTAAGCAGAAGTATGAAAAGGATAAACTGATCGAGACGTTGCCAAGCACAGCTGATCGACCAGCGTCGAGCAAGGAGCGCAAGGCGGCCGCCGCCGAAGCCAAGGAGCAGCGCAGATCGGAAGGTCTTGCCGGTCTGTCAGTCAAGCAGTTGACCGAATTGATCATGTTTTCGGGAGAGGACCCGGCACCCGCCATGCCGACGGTAAAGGGACTGTCGCAGGCGCACCGTCACAAGCTAGGTTTCCATGAACACATGTATGCTGCAGTGGCTAGGCCAGTCAATGCCGCCGAGATTCGCGTAAATCCCGAGGCT